TGAAGAGAGTCATCGATTTTCAAAGTGTGCTCAAAGACTTATGCCATTTCATGGGGCGCCTGAGTGGCTCAGTCAGTTAAGTGTCTGCCTTCCACTTGGGTCATGATTCTGGCATTCTGGGATTGAGCTCTGTGTTGGGTTCCCTGTTGGGGTGGGTGGGAGGAGTCTGCTTCTCCCTCTCCCTCTGCCCCTTACCCTGCTTGTACACTCTCTCTCAAATAAGTAAAATCTTAAAAAAAAAAAAAAGACTTATGCCATTTCCTTGCAGGCAAACTTAATAAAATTAATTTGTACTTATCTCCTCCAGCAGAAAAGACAGAATGAATCATATACAATTGAAGATAATCAAGAATAAATTCCGCTTGGCTGTAGGGCATTGTTCTATATTTATATTGAAGATCTAGTCTACATGTTCCTTATAGAGTAATGTTTCTCACACGCAGATGACTCTAGTCATTATATAGTCTTCCTCAGAAGTCTTCCATCACTTGCCAGTGCCTCTCAAATCATGTTCACAATCATCCATGATCCCACCCAACCTGCTTTTACAGGCTTTATGCACTACCACCGCCCCCCACCCCAGGAAGCTATATGTGCCTCAGTTCACATCAGAGTGCTTACAATTTTCAAAAAGCACTAGATTTTGTTAGGTTGGGTCTTTATCCATGTCCCTCAACTGAAATGCCCTTCCCTTTTCCCTTCCTCAATGTCTGTCTGTTAAACTGTGCCTTTTCTTTAAGGGTTAAGATAAACAGCTCCTTTTCCATAAAACCATCACTTGAACTAGAATTCTTTCTTCTTTGTGTTCTGTTGGTGGTTCCTCTGTCTGTTCCTTGCTTATAACATCCATCAGTTTCTGACTTATGTCTTGGTGTTATGTGGTATAAAAAAAGTCAAGTAGTGAATTTAATTTAATGTGGTCCCAGGATTGGAATGTATCCAGGAACCTGGCAGAAATAAACATAAAACCTCTCTGGAGGAAAGCCACATAAGCCTCAAAAAATTCCCACTCATCAAGCTCTGAAGAAGAGGGGCCTGGAATCAAAGATCACAAAACATACCAAATCACCATGGATGAGAGGCAGCAAAAATGATATGCATCAAAATAATTCAGAATACAAGAGATAGAAGATCTCAAGACCAACCAGAAAGAAAGTCAACTCACTTATGAAGCAATATCACACTATAGTTTAGTGCAGTACATAAGCAAATAAGGTCTAAGTGGCAAGTGCTGTGGCTAAGGGCATGAGCTCTGGAATGCGCTGACTGAGTTTCAGTGCCCATTCTATCCTTTGCAAGTACATTTTGGCAAGTTACCTCTCTATGGCTTAGTTTTTTCATCTACAAAATATGATTAATACCATTTTCAATTTTTTGTACTACATGAAAAATGCACACATATTTCCCAGAAGAGTATCTAGCATTTAAAAATGGTAGCTATTATTATTAAAGGAATTGGACAGCTGACTTCTCATTAGCAACAACAAAAAGCAGAAGACAGTCAATCTAGCTGTCAACCTAGAACTCTTGATTTATCCATTATTTATCTATATCTTTGTTCACTATTCCTTCTTGCATTTCAGAATGCCCATCTGTTACCGTTTTTCTTTTGCCAAAAGTACAATCTTTAAATTTCCTTTTGTGAGGGTTTATTGGTTGTTAACTCCCTTAAGTGTAAATAGTATATGAAAATCACAGTGAAACATGAACACCACAGTGAAAGTCATTTGAAACTCACCAGGTTTTAACAGGTTAAAAGTCTAACCATCTCAAATGCTTCCAAAGAGAGATATGTGGAAGTTCTCATACAGTGCTGTCAGGGGTTTGAATTGGTCAAGCCAGTTTGGAAAAAAGTTGGGTATTACATAGAATTGTTGATTATGAATACATTCCTAGGTATATAATCTAGACACGTTTTTACATGTGTGCACCGATAGACATGTATGAGAATATTCTTCGAAGCATTGTTTCTAATAGACAAAATCTGACAATAATCTGTCTCCATTAACAGAAGTATGGATAATTAAAATGTTATGCTCGTACCAGCAGCACTATCATGATTGAACTTCAAAAAGATAAAGCTGAATGGAAAAAAAAAGTTACCACATGATTCCATATCTAGAAAGTGCAAAAACATGCAAAACTAAATTCAGTTGACCCATGAACAATGTGAGTACTGGGGGCGCTGACCTCTCACACAGCTGAAAATCCATGTATAACTTTTGACTCCCTCAAAACTTAACTAATAGCCTACTCTTGACCAGAAGTCTTACTGATAAAATATAAATGGTGTGTAATACATATTTTGTATATTATATGTATTACATACTGAATTCTCACAATAAAGTAAGTGAGAGAAAAGAAAATCTTATTAAGAAAATCATAAGGAAAAGAAAAATACATTTCCAGTACTGTACTGTCCTTATAGAAAAAACTCCACATATAAGTGGACCCACGTGGTTCAAACCTATGCTGTTTAAGTGTTGCTTGGAGATACATTTATATGGTAAAGGAATTATTAACACAAAATTCAGAATAATGGTTACCTCCAGGATCAGGGGTACATAAATAAGTGTGGTGGTACTAATAAGATTCTATTTCTGGAGTGCCTGGCTGGCTCAGTTGGCGGAGCATGTGACTCTTGATCCCCGGGGGTTGTGAGTTTGAGCCCCATGTTGGGTATAAAGATTACTTAAAAATAAAATCTTTAAAAAAATTCTAATTCTTAGGCTAAGGAGTGAGAACTGAGGCAACAGTTTTATTCTTTCTTAATTCAAACATTTTTGTTTGTATGAAAGATCTTGTGAATAAAGAAAGCCTCATGTTTCGTTTGAAGAAAATTAATTTACATCAGACTTGAAGCATCTATCCCACAAGGCTAATAGAAAATTCCACCTTGGCTGTTATACGGGCTCTCCAATTTGAGAGTTATACAACAGTTTGTTTTTCCCTAACTTGAGGGTTATCCAAAGGTCCCGATGTTCTACATGAGCCAACACATCGAGGAGTCCCCTTTGGCCAAGGATGTAGTAGCTTCCTTCCATGTCCCACAGGCCCTGCTATGTCTGCCCCACGCTTGGCATGCAAGGATCTTTGGGGACATGGGAGCAGGGGAGGGGCCAGGGGTCCCTGGGCTTAGAATTTAGCTTCCTCAGCATATCATGCAGCTAAACCTTCTGAGACCTTTCCAACTCCCCATGTAAATTAGCCTCCATTCCTGGCTGTGTATCTTTAAACTCTCTGTGGATTCTCACATCAGTGCGAGCTTTCAAATACACACTAACTTTTTAACAAGTTCTCTGTTGTTAAAATTCTCCTTGTGGCTTTTATTAGCCTTGAGTAGCTGCCCCTATCTACTTGGGGACAAAATGTCTCAGAGAAAGGATCTCCTATCACCACCAGAGGGCTACCCCATCCCCACCTCACCCCCATCCTCCCCTGACGAGGTCTGTATTTTCAAGCCCTTTTCCAGGAAGAAAAATGAAATCTCTACAGAAAGCCATCTCCCTTGTCAATCTCCCCTCCCCACTTGTTTTTGGCCAGTTTGACATCATTTTTGCTGCAGAATAAATTGTAAGTCATCTTAATTAAATCCAACACAGAGAATCGGTCATTCAAAATAGTTACAAAACTTAATGCCATCTGCTTCTTAGGTCCCCACTGAAAAAGCAGGGTTGCAGTATCATAATTCCTCTAAAGCTGACACAACAAACATCCTTTCTCCCAGTTGAACAATTTATGTACTTGCTTGAGGGGCTATCTAATCTCTCAAACAAAAAACTGTATCTAAAACTTCGGGACACTCTTGCCTTTCACTTTGGTAAATAATTCTATTTTATTTTCTTCCTCAAGGACAACATTCTTTACCAGATGAGATGCTTCACCCTGACTGGAGAAAGGGAAAGTCTTGGAAAAAGAAAAAGTAAGTCATTAAGCGTGCACTCTCTCTCTCACACACACACATACACACACGCCCAGGCACCATAGATTTAAAGACACAGTGACTCACACCCCTCCATTACTGTTCGCCCCAAGGATGTTGATTGTTCTCAGGTATCCCAACTTTATCTTTATCTTTATTCCCAACTACGCTTGGAGAGTTGTCGAGATTTCTAATCACCCTTTGAAGATCCTTATGAGTTTACAATATAAACTAATATTTTAGCTTTCATCCTTCCTCTAACACATCATTCCTTCACACTCCTGAGCTGCCGGGGCTGCTGCGTAGGTACCAGCCACGCTAGGCTCGGATGCCTGGCTGGCTGGCAGTTCTTTTCCACTTCACTTGCAGTGCAAGATATGGGGCCTCTGCAAGTTCCATTTCACCCCTTCTCCCAGCTGAGATTTCAGTGGGTTTAACCCTCCTGCTGATGTAGACTCTGACCATCCTTGCTCCATCAGAGCAATCCCTTCCTTGGTCTAGTTTAGGAGCCAGGGTGTAATCTGTGTAGTTCTGGTCAAAAGGAAGCCCAATGACTTTGGTTAAATGCTTAGAGCAGGAGATACCCTGTTTCTTCTCCTGGATATAAGTAAGGAAGCATGTAGCCTTAGGCTGCTTGTAATCAGCTTGTTCCCATGAGGGTATTCAGCCATCAGACCAAGGCAATACCTGGAGAAGGCTCACAGAAGCCCCTGCTCAGTAGCTTGAAGTCCAACTTCTCTTGGGATGTTACGTGAGATAGTGATTGTTTAAGCCACTTGGACTTGGGTTTTCTGCTGCTTGTGACTAATAAATATGCTGATATACTAAATCATCTCTGATCCTAGGAAGTGACTCCAATCATCCCAAGAGGGGCCTCCCTTCCCATGGCTGGGCTGGGTGGGCCTCCCTCAAAGGCCCAAATCCAAGTCTAGCCATTTCCTACTTTCCTTTCTCCTGTCAATGTTCAGTGCCCATTTCTGGTGACCTTTATTTTCTGTCTCATTTCTTAAAAAACAAACATACAAAGAAACAAAACCCACAGAATTAATTTGACTTTTAAAGTTTAATTTAAACTTAATTTTTATTTCAACAATACATATTTGCAAGTTAGATGGCTAAAAAGTTCTTAAAAGGAAAAGAGAAATTTCCACCCTATTGTCCCACCCCAAACTCTCCAGAGGCCATCCCTGCCCGTCCTTTTCATGGTTTCTTCTGGACTGCAGCTCTTATTGCTAAATAAGATTTTTCTACAGCTTTTATCATTCTCTAGCTTTAGTTGTTATGAATTTTCTGTGATGGCAGATGGAGACCTAGACTTCTTACACCCTTCCCCCACATACATATCCTCTCATTTCTTAAAAAAGTTATATCATCGTATTTTGTTATTTACATTATTCTCTGTGTAAACATTATTCACAGCTGAGCCATGTAGTGTACTGTGATTATATTTCTGTTCTTAAACAACTGTTTCTTTCTGCTAGCATTCAATGATCACAGTGTCTTTTCCTTTGCTTATTTTTCTAAGTATTTTCACTAGTTCATCCCAAGTTCTTCAAGAAAACTACAAATCCCTCCAATGCATGCAAATCAATTAGTTTCTTGTTTTTCTGCTACCACCAACATCTTATGTCGTTCACCTTTCTCCTGTGTTGGATTCCTTGTTTCCTAGATGCCATGTTTTCTTCTATCTTGGCTTAATCACTTATTTTGGAGGAGCACATCCTCCAGTGGGTTTCTGATAAAAAGTGCAAGGGTGATAAAAGTGTTGAGACCTTTCACACTGAAAATGTCTCTATCTACCCTCTCATTTATTTGTAGGTGTTTTTCATGTTTGGGCCCTCACCCCCTGCCCCCAAAGTGTAGTGGTCATTGACTGTTCATAGTTAAGAGTGAGACTCTAACAGGTTGACTAGATGCTCTCTGAATGGAAGGGATTAGTTGCAGTGTGAGCTTCCCTTTCAGGTAGGTAATAGGGCAGGTGCTGGCTTTTGTGTTGGGAAATCCTCAACAGTCTGTATCTGTTAGTCTTTTTCTTGGGTTGGACAGTTTCCCCACAGGGGGATCCTGCGGGCTCATGTTTTGACAGGATATGAGTCTATCAGCATTCTGACAGCTGAGTAAGGGAAGGGCCCTGGGGCTCTTGTTTACTATGAAGATATTCCCTTTCTCCCTAGCTTGAGGTCACCAACTCCCTCCCACACTCCACTCTGCCTGAGGTCAATAACTCCAAAGAGAAAATCTTGTGAGAATGAGGAAAGGTAGGTGCCTGGTGAGGAAAGGGAACTTTTATTCACTTTCTACCAATCTTCCCGGAGATTTGTAGGGAGAGTGGTGGCATAAGCACCAGCTAACCCTTCTTCACAGATATTTTTTAAACCCTTACAAGCTGTGTGAACTTGAACAAGCTTCTTAATTTCTCTGAGCTTCAGGTTCTTCATTCGTAAAATAGAAACATAAGACTTTGGTGTGAGGGTTAAATGGGGTTTACTGAATGTGAAGTGTCTGGCACAGTCTGCCCAGCATGGAGAGGGCATTCAATTGTTGGTGGTACAGTGGTCTGGGGTCTGGAGGTAGAAGTTGGTAGTCTCTTTAGCTTTGTTTCAGTGGCCAGAAAGAACCCCTTCCCACTATCCATTTCTTTTCTATACTCCCTCAAAGGAAAGCCACCCTATGCATATTTTGCCAAAATATTAATAGAATTTCAGGGATACAACCACCTTTGCAACTTATCCTCCACCCCACCCTCTCTTTCAGTGCCCTGCCGAACACTTAGAGCAACCTCCTTTATTCTGGCTCCCATCCCGATAGATTAATGTGCAAGACTCAGAACTGCAGTGAAGTCAGTCCAAACCCAAATCCCAAGAGTAACCCCCTCTTCTCGGCTATTTCACACGTAATCCCTCCACCCCTAGGCAATGGCCCAGTTCCTTTTCTTACTCTTCCTATCCTTTCTAGCCCCCTGGCAAGAGAGGCAAAGAGAAACTTCTTGCCTTCAGTGGACTAGAGCCTCCTTCCCAGTGCAAAATGAAATTTCTCCTTCTCCCTACTTTTCACCAGCTCTTTCTTGCCCCAGTCCTTCTCTCCCTTTTTCTCTCACTGTTCTTGTTTGGGACCTTGACTCTGCTTCGTCAAAGGCCAGCCTTCTTCACAAAGTCTTTTCAGTGAATTCTGAGGATGCTTTTCTTATCTGCTCTGGAACCTCCGTTAGCTTTGTAAACTGGCTATATCTTAGGGGATTGAAGATGCAAGAGGAACTGGAGAAGCTGGGGAATCTGAGGTTATCTTAAAGTTAATTTAGAATGCCTGGTGGGACCAAGATCTGGTACAGAATCTGACGAAAAGAAGCACACAATGTGCTAAGTATTTTTTCCCAGTCTAACATTTTAGGTTGCAAGACTAGTGGAGATTTTGCCTGCTACATTTCTCATCTAGACTCAACCACTGAAAACACACCTAATAAAATGTTTGGAGTAGGACTTGATTGACCTTCGTTGGAAATGGTGTAAATACATGGTCATTTGGGACTATGTGTGAATGAAGGTCAGCACAAGGATACAAGAACAGGCCTCACCTCCAAACCCCTTAAACTTGTGTTTCCTTTTTCAACCACATGCATACAGGAATGCTGCACTTTGTCTTCTGTAGGTGATCTTTTCTGAGTGTGGACCTTAGTCTGTCCTTAAAATTTTCCCCAGCAAAGTAATAGAGCAAAGGATTGAGGCAGCTATTGGCTGCTGCCAAGGCCAGTGTGATGACCACTGCTTTATGCAGCTTCTCTTCACATTTATTCACTTTCCACACAAGCAGGTGGAGGGTTCTCAGTACGTGATAGGGCAGGAAACACAGGAGGAAGATGATCAAGGCAATGATGATGGTGATAAGTGCCTTCTTGTGAGAAACCCGCAGACCCGATTCTGGGACCTCCACCTTTAACAGAGCTCGAATGATCAGCAGGTAACAAATGCTGAGCATGAAGAATGGCAGCAGGAAGCCCAACACCAAGGCAATGTAGTTCATGGTCTGCAGTTTAACAATTTTACTGATATTCAACTCTAAGCATAATACAGCACTGCCCCTCTGCTCAGAGCCATTTTTCAGAAGCAATACCGAGGAAGCCATGATAAGGATCCATATGATCCCACACAGAGTCCAGGCATTCCTGATGCTGGTGACATGGAGGAGCCGGAAGGGATGAACAGTTGCCAGGAAACGCACGATGCTCAGCACAGTCAGGAAATAAATGCTGCTGTACATGTTAACATACATAGAATAAGACATAATCCTGCAGGCCAGGTCCCCAAATATCCAGTTGGAGCCTCTGAGGTAATAGTCAGCTCTGAAGGGTAGTGTACTTGTGAATAAGAAATCTGAAATGGCCAGGTTTAGCATGAAAACATTCACAGACGTGGACTTCTTGTAAGACTGCAGGAAAACATAGATGGAAAAGCCATTTCCCAACGTTCCCCAGACAAATATTATCAGGTACACAGTGGGGTAAAAATCCCTTTTGAAGTTTTCAATTGTACAGTTCCCGTTGCTGTTGTTACTGCTGAAGGTGCCATTGGGTTCCATTTCTGGTATGGAGATGGATGGAGGCAAGGACATAAGTTTTCTCTCCATGCTGGATTAAAAAGAAAACAGACATAAAAAGTTACTTCTTGCTCACTACCTACATCTTTCCAGATTTTAATGAAACGGAGAAATACTAGCTTTTCTTTGCTACTTGAGTCAAAAAATACCAGAAAAGTCTTTACTGTATGCTTCATTATATTTCACGGTAAATTTCTAGAATGCAAACTGAACATTACTTTTATCTGACTGAAGCGGAAGCCTCAAACTTGGGAGACCTTTGGCCCAGTGCTTATGTAAATACTGCAGTCTAAATCTACCGGACAGCAGATGTCTCATCAGAATGTATGGAAGACAAAAGGAAGTGACACAACTTTTTCAAGTGCTAAAACAAAACTCTACCAACCCGGAGCTCTTTATCCAGCAAAAATACCCTTCAAATATGAAGGAGAAGTCAAGACATTCTCAGATGATAGAAAACTAAGAGAATTTGTTGCCAGCAACAAACCTACCCTAAATGAATGGCTAAAAGAAGTCCTCTAGACAGAAAGGAATCAATAAAAGAAGGAACATAGGAACATCAAAAAAGACGTAGATCATGAAAAGCAAAAATATGGGTAAGTACAATAGGATTTTCTTCTCTTTTTGAGTCTAAGTTATGTTTGATGACTGAAACAAGAACTCCAACATTGCCAGTGATTTGATACGATGTAGGGGAAGTGTTAAAGATAATTATATTGTAAATGGGGGAGGGTAAAGGGACACAAAGGAGGTAAGGTTTCCACACTTTACTTGACTTGGTAAAATGATGACACCAATAGACTTTAAGTGATGTATGTGTAATGTAACGCCTAGAGCAGCCATTAAAAAGCTATACAAAGAGATATGCTCAAAAACACTAGAGATAAATCAAAATGTACTTCTGAAAAGTGTTCAAGTCACCAACAGGAAGATAGGAAAAAGAAAATAGATAATGCAAACAGAAAAATATAATAAAATGACAGACTTATCCCTAACAAATCAATAATTACATTAAAATATAAATAATTACATTAAATGTAAAAGTCTAAATATACCAACTAAAATACAGATTGGAAGACTGGAATATATATATTATATATATATAATTTATATACTGTATATAAGAAATTCACTTCAAATAACAGTACTGGCAGGTTGAAAGTAAAAGGATGAAAAACATATATGTCATACAAACATTAATCAAAGGAAATCAGGGATGGCTCTTAATATCAAATAAAGTAAACTTCAGAACAGACAAAATTCTGAGAGAGGGACATTATGTAATGATAAAATAGTTTATCTGCCAAAAAGACACACCAGTTCTAAATGTGTATGCACCAAACAACAGAGTTGCAAACTATGTGAAGGAAAAACTGATAGAATTGAAAGGAGAAATACACAAGTCCACAGTTATAGTTGGTAATTTCAAAACCTTGTCTCAATAACTGATAGAGCAAATAGACAAAACTCAGTAGGAATATGGAAAACCTCAAATACAACATCTACCAACAGGAACCAATTGACATTTATAAAATACTCTATTCAACAAAAGCAGAAAACACACTCTTTTCAAGTGCCCACAGAACATATACCCAAATAAACCACATCCTGGGCCATAAAACAAACCTCAACAGATTTAAAAGAATTGAAATCATACAGAGTGTGCTCTATAACTACTATGGAATCAAACTAGAAATTAATAGCAGAAATATAGAAAATCCCCAAATGCTTGGAAACTAAACAACACACTTCTACATATTCCATGGGTCAAAGAGGAAGTTTCAAGGGAAACCAAATAATATATTGAACTGAATAAAAATGAAAATGCACCATATCAAAACTTGCGAGGTATAGCAAAAGCAGTGCTGAGAGGAAACTGTGTAATACTAAATGCATACATTACCAAAGAAAAAGTTTTAAATCAGTCATCTAAGCTACCATCTCAAGAAGCTAAAAAAAAAAATCCTTTAAAAGTCAAATAAACTTGGGTAACCTGGGTGGTTCAGTTGGTTAGGTGCTTGAATCTTGATCTCAGCTCAGGTCTTGATCTCAGGGTTATAAGTTCAAGCCCTGCATGGGGCTCCACACTGAGCATGGAGCCAACTTAAAAAAAAAAAAAAAAGTGAAATAAACCCAAAGCAAGCAAAAGAAGGGAAATAATAAAGGTAAAAGCAGAAATCAAGGAAATTAAAAACAAAACAAAACAAAACAGAGAAAAATCAATGAAAGAAAGAACTGTTCTCTGAAAAGATCAGTACAATTGACAAACCTGTGGCAATACAGACAAAAGTAAAACTAGAGCAGACACAAATTGCCATTATCAGGAATGAAACAGGGGACGTAATTATAGACACTGCAGACATCAATAGTATAAGGGAATACTATGAACACCTCTACACACATAAATTTGATAACTTAAGTGAAATGGAGTAATTCCTTAAAAAAAAACAAAAACTACCCTAACTCACCACATACAAAATGATAATTAGAACTACAGAGAAAATTACAATTTAAAACTCTAAAAAGGAATCTCCAAGTCCAGGTGGTATCACTGGAGAATTCTACCAAATTCTACCATATTTAAATAAGAATTAACAGCAATTCCATATAATCTCTTCCAGAAAATAGGAGAGGAGGATACACATCCCAATTTATTTTATGAAGCTAGTATTACCTTGATACTAAAACCAGACACAGTATAAAACAAAAGACTACAAACCAATATTCCTTATGAATATAGACACAAAATCTCTTAGCAAAATATTAGCAAATAAAATTTAGCAATATTACAAAAAGAATTATGCACCACAACCAAGTAGGGTTTATTTCATGCATTCATGTCTGGTTCAATATTCAATATAGTTCACGTAAAAATTGTCTTTTTTTAGTGTTAATGTCATATTCATCTAGAGCAGTTTCCTCTTCCTTTCTTTCCTTCTTTTAATTCCTCTTTCTCTTTTTCCCTCTCTTAGGAAATGAATGATTACCTGATCAAAAGAGTCCTTCACTCTTTATGTGCACATTCTAGGGATGTATGGTCTAAATAAACAGGCACAATGTCTGAAATAATGGAAGACAAAGTTATTAAGATGTATTTCATTTTGTGGACACTAAAAGTGTATTTACATAATAGCTTTTATTATTACAGTTGTAAGAAAAAAAGAAAGGGCATTCTTTTCAAGTTAAAAGAAGATACCAATTTTGGCATGTTTCAAAGTCTCTAAAAAACTAATTTATTATATGATAACAAGTGTCAGCACAATATTTGATCTGAACAAGGCCAGGGTTAAATTTCCTTTGATTAAATTGAATTTCCTGCATGGGATTTATGAATTAAGCAATATTCCACTATTTCCATAACTTGTTTAAAATTTAAAATTATACATATAAAATTGTATTTAAAATGAATGATAACAATGAATCCTTTTTAAAGATTTAATTTTATGACATTCTTACTTTGGGACAAATCATAAGAATTTAATTTTTTAACTAAAACTATAATTTCCTGATCCTTAACTAACTTAAAGACCTTAGACAAATAGTTAATAAATAATCTTTGGATGCCTAAACAATTTCTAAATAAGAAATAGATACAAAACAGTGGTTATTCAATATAATGAATTGAACGAATATAAATTTTTACTTTATTTTTTACAAGGGTAATAGATGAACAAAATGTGTAAATGCCTTTGGATTATACTTTTTAATTATATTATACTTTAAAATTGTTTAGATTGTATGACAAATGCTAGTAGACAGAAAAATATCTAAATTAGTCTTTATTTTCTCTCCTCTAACTGTTCTTATGCTTGATGAAAAGGAAGGTTGATTACTTTGGTCAAGATGATAATTAATATAATTAATACAGAGAAATACAAGTATGTATACAAGATAATGAATATGATTTTCTGTTTGTTTATCAAGAAGGCTGAAATAGTTTATTCACAGGGCAAATTTAATGTATACACACGTTTTATTTAATAGATTTAATTTAATTTTATTTTTTTAATAGATTTAATTTTAAGGCTATAGTTTAATACTTTAAAATCATTACTTATTAGTGTATTTATACATTTGTGAATACCTAAATGCAAACATATGAGGACATATTAATAAATCCTTTACTGTAGGTTGTTAAACATGAATAATGTACAAAAAGAGTAAAATTAGAATTATGGTCTTTTTAACATAAAATAATTAGGTTATTTTATACTCAGTAGTAAAGATTTCTTTTTGTCAATAAAATATTCTGTTAAATTTCAGTGCTTCTGATATACTTTTAAGTCATTTTTTAAAAGATTCCTTGCTTTCAAAATAAAGTTTTTCATAACTATTGTTAATTTCTCAGTGTTTTTACAATGTTTCCTATAATTATTTCTTTACTCTACTTACGAGTTATATCTTCTCTCCTTAAGCAACTATTCCTGATTCTTTCTTTCCCAAATTCAGGATAAAGCCATTAATTTGTTTTTTGTGCCCAAACCATCTTGGGGTTTTACTAAAATGGCCAAGGGGTAATACAAGCTTTGTTAAAGGAAGGAACAATGGGAATAATTAGATTTCTAAAAATCCTCTGAATTTTAATTAATCTAAAACTATTGCGAGAGCGTTTTGGTTTGCCAAACAAGTAATAAAAAAGCCGATAAGTTACCCCCAAAAAGTTGATTATACTTAGGTAAAATATGCTAATGCAAATATCTTTCAGGGATTACATACTTTTTAAGTTAAAAGAAGCATGTTTGCGTTTAAATGCAAAGATTACTATAACTGAGATAAAAAGATTTTTTCCCAGGTCTCTAGACTCATGAACCCTTTCTCCTTTTTGGTCATGACCAATCTGAACAAGCACTAGACTTTCTGATTCAGTTACATGGGAATCGTCAGAGGTCAACTTTTGATTTCAGTCTTTCATTAGACCTAGTAGCCACATGTAACCATCTTGTTTAAGAGCTATAGCAGCTCCAGCAAGGCTTCTAGAAGCCTTAAGTCAACTTTGTCAACTTAGTTCTATGGTCTCCACTAAACTTAATAGTCTCCCTGTTGGGGGCACCTGGCTGGCTCAGTAGGCAGGGTGTGGGACTCTTGATCTCTGGGTTCTGAGTTCAAACCCCACATTGGGTGTAGGGATTACTTAAAAGAAATAAATAGTTTCCCCTTGTTCCTTTGATTAGATATGACTTGGGACTTCTCAGCCAATCACATAACCTCCTATACAATTCTGTTGGTTTCCCTTAAAACATCATGATCCATTACTGTAACATTGAATCAAGCTACCCTAATTTCCTCGTGTGTGTGTGTGTGTGTGTGTGTGTGTGTGTGTGTGTGTAAAAGCCCATGACTGGTTATCTTAGTAACCGAGGTGTCCATACCTTGCATGGACCTTCTAGATTCTCCCTTGCATATCCTTGATTTAATTTTGTTGGTTCATACTTAGAAAGAAAAAGAAAATTGCCAAGCAGGCTATGCTACCTCTGATTTGAATTTACCCTTGAAATATAAGCTTTACCTTGAAATAAAATAAAGTCAGATGACTAAGTTAATTGCCTTTACCCAGACTTGCTGACAAAAGAATGAAAGAACAAATATTTATACTGATACATGGAATATGATTTTGGATTCATCCATGAATTCAAAATACGTTAGAAATAGAGATTTCCTGACACTACAAGACTCCCTGTAAAGTAAACAATGAATCAAAGAACCTTGAGATGCTTTGCTACTACCCAAAGAAACAGCCATAATAAAAGTAGAGTTTAGCAAGTCTGTTTCATGATATTACTTACAACAGCCGAGATAAACTGGCGATGGTATTAAACCAACACTGGCAGGGTAATATGAAGGCTACGGCTAAGGATGCTCCCATGCATGCCCTATCTGTCGTCAACACAATGCTAGCAAGTCTGTAAAGGTAGAACATGGACAACCACAGTCCCAAGGCTCCTTTGAACATCTCCAGAAGGTCTATGAATGTGTTCTGGTTATTGTTTATTCTCAGAGTGTGTTAAGGCTTTTCTTTGCTACAGAGCTCTGTCTTTATGGTAGGAAAAAAAAATTGCTTAATTTGGGAATCCCAGCTTGTCTCTTCTGTAACAGACACACATTTCACTGATGGAGTCATCGAAGAACAGTAAAGCTTTAACTTTTACTTAGAAACGTCGCTGTCCTTATCCACAGACAACAGGGAATGTAACAAGAACTAATGGAATTCTAACACCCTCAAACTTCTAAGGATTGAAGTATTTCCATTGGCCTTGATTACAGGCAATGAGATCAATCCCCCCTGGAACCCACAAATTATCTCCTCCCGAGTTCATAACAAGCTGCCCTTGTGCATTTGGGGATTACTTCCAATCCTTGATCCTATTCTATTGTGATCTAATGGATGACTACAGGGAAGTTGCTTTTCCAAAATATTCTCCAAAGCAGTCTCCGTGTGATCTGAAACGTAGATATTTGGTCTTCCAGAAAAGACATCAGAGGAAAACTTCTCTTGACCCTAGATGGAGAGGACCCTATTGCTATCTTTAACAACGGACACTGTATTAACACTCCAATATTTTAACTTTTGGACTCATGTCTCCCAACTAAAAAGACACACAGAACTTTCCCCCAACTACTGGAAGTCCATTCCTTTGAAAGACCTCAAACTGAAGATTTTTAGAAATTCTCCAGAAGCTGTTGATTTATAGAAGGGCAGATTATTGGGGCACCTGGGTGGCTCAGTTCATTAAGTATCTCCCTTCGGCTCAGGTCATGATCTCAGGGTCCTGGGATCGAGTCCTGCATCAGGCTTCCTGCTCAGCGAGGAGTCTGCTTCTCCCTCTGCCTCTGCTTCTCCCTCTCTTTCTGCCTCTGCTTCTCCTTCTCCCTCTGCCAAAAAAAATAATAATAATAAAAAATAAAAAATATATATATAAAAAAGAAGGGCAGATTATTGACTACAGAAGCAGATAGCTTTCACACAAGACAGAACAAAATTAATTTTCTAATTCTTTAGCAACTTTTTCTTTCTCCTTACTACTCATTTCGTTCACCATTGTACTTTCCCTCTGTCTATTAACTAATATGATCTCCCTTATCTTCATCCTGGGACCCATTACCGTCTTTGCCACTTAAGAGAAAACAAAATTCTCTGAGTTGTTTTTTCTTTTTTTTTTTTTCAAGTAGGCACCACACCCAGCATGGGGCCCAATGTGGGGCTTGAACTCACAACCCTGAGACCAACACCTGAGCTCAAGAGTCAGATACTTAACTGACTGAGCCACCCAGGCACCCTTCTGGGTTGTTTGTTTTCTCTTAGATCATAGCTACTGTTCTGAATTTAACTGATCGCTGACAAAATTTAATAACTAAAACCAACCAAACAAAAACAAATAAATAAAAAAACACTTCAAGATGTAAATTTTCTTCTCCATATCCCTTCTGATAGTTAAGTTTCCCCTCACATAATTAACGCCAATTTCAGTCTTATAAAAATTGTATATTGACCCCATACCAACAAAATGCTTCTGCTGAAGTCCTTACAACCCTATCAGCAAAACCTAACACTTTGGTAGTGGGAACAAAGATTGGGTCTAACCCGGATAGAAATCATTACTTTATTTTCTTCAAAAACCTTCCAGCCTGCTTTGCAGGACCTGTTTGACTCCACTGAAGGCATCTGTCCACCTCAAATGACTCTCCACCCACAGATGCTCAAATAAAGAAAAGGGCTCATTCCTATTGTGAGAAATGATTCTTAAATTCCCAGTTACCACTTGTCTACTTCTTATGTGGACATCGGGCTTACACCTACCTGCCACACACTAACTTACCCTGTGTACTCAAGGTCATTGTTAGAGGATGTCAGATGTTTAAAATTACCACCCCTCCAGGAATCGTGTTTCCCTAAAAAGAACACACAGAGACATCTGAGAGAGGCAGGTACAGGCTAATTCAGAGAAGTCTCTCTCAGGAGAGATAACCAATTGCCTGGTGTGCATACTGTGGAAGCAGCAACTACCAGAGTTGGAATAATGCAACTGGAAAGAATCACTCATAGCTTATCTCTGACCCTGGCAAGAGTCTTATTTATTTAAAGTGTACAACTTCTGCTCTGGAAGCTGACAAAGACTCGCTCCTTGATCAAACTCTAGCTAGGCTCCTCTGGGCCCTCTCCCTGATAGGCTCCCAACCTGGTCTATAAAGACTTAATAAAGGATTAACAGTTTTTTGTTTTTCAGTGTTAACATTTTTTTAATTATAAACATGACAGTAGATTGTAAATGCTGTTTTGTAGTCTATAAACAATTTTTCTATAAACAAAATGTCATGATCATTTTCCCATTCAATAGATTTTCTACAAGATAAAAAAAGATTGCTTATGTAAACGGTAAGGCTATAACATGACTCTAAGCCAGAGAACTCTGCCTCATGCCCAAACACATAAGGATTAATGGTAGGATGGAGGAGAAAACATTTCTGAAGGGGTAGATGGCCTAGCCTAACCACATAAATATGCAACAACTGTTCATCCAGTTTATGAGGGCTTCTCAACCTGTGTTTGCCACACTCTTTCTTTTTTTTTTTTAAACATTTTTTATTTAAATTCAATTAATTAACATATAATGTATTATTGGTTTGAGAGGTACAGGCCTGTGATTCATTGGTCTTACACCCAGGGCTCATTACACCACATGCCTTCCTTAATGAAGGACTAACAGTTTTTTTTTTTTTTTTTAACAGATCAGGGCTACATCTCTAGGATGACCAAAACCTCCCCTTCTTGTAGAGCCTGAAACAACTCAAGGCCAACAAAAGAACTTACTGTTTGTTCCAGACAACACCTGAAGATAGGGCTCCTGTCTCCCAGCCTCTGTGGGAGGGTAGGATCCTAAGCTTCAAAAGTGTCAGTTAGCAAACCCAGATGCAATTCACATGGGCCAACCTCCCCTTCCCGTTTTTTGTAATTTTTCACTTCCCTGACTCTGCCGAGCACCTGTTTACCCCCTCTCTACTCCTTCATTCTTCCTTAAGAACATCCACTCACCTCTGTAAAAAATGAAGCTAAGTTCAGGTCATGTTGGACTCTTCTCTACTGCAATAGTATATTACCAATTAAAATCTCTCCTTCCTTTAACTAGCATCTGGCTTTGTTTATCTTTGACAAAGCCCAGGTTTAAATGTAAATTCGTTAGGCAGAGTTGTCATGGATAATAACACAGTCCTTAATTTCTCCTTACCTAGCCAAAGAGAATTTTCTGCTAGAGTAAACACTTATTACTACACCTGGATAAATATTACATAACAGCCTATGACTTGAGGTATGGGTGGAGGGAAGCTTCCTGGATGTCTAGAAAAGAACAGAAGGATTGCAGGGGACATGTTTTCATTATCAGAGTATGATAGTATGGGTCCCTGTTTTTCAGAGTCTGTTATATGAACTAATAACCATTTTTGTTCCTGCAAAGTCCTGCTTCCTTGAATCTTACCCCCAAATTATCTAATGCGAGCATAAATCCTATTATAATTCCTAACATCCTCTTTCTGAGATGCCCCAGTTTCCCTTCATGTGCATTCCCCCTTGACACAAGTCAATAGACCCAACTTTGTTCAACTACAGGTATGTTCCCAATGGCCTTTGACTAGAAGACACTGACTCTGAGAATCCACATAATGATCTAAACAATAAAAAAGGTAGGGTAAAACATTAGTTAAATTAACCTACCCAAAGAGATGGCTTGTTAATATATTTCTGATGCAGCAAGGATGTTTTTCAATTCTCCTTCAGACACTTATGTGAAGGTGTAACTCAGAAAACATGGTTGACATGTAAATGATGTCAAAAAAGAAAAACTTTTTTCTTTAATTCAGCACTTCCCAAAGTATCTTCCACAGAATATGAATTCCATAAGATGCTCTGTAAAAGACAAGCCTTCCATGTTTAAATCAGCTTGAGAAATACTGTAAGCTCTAGTATTCCTCTCTTGGAGACTCATAATGCATGTTAAAGGCTCTATGGGGTTCCTGCAGGAAGACAGAAAAAAAAAAAAAAGCCTGATTTACACACAGTATCCCTCCCTTTTTTTGATCCTAAAAACTCTTGGGCACATTAACACATTCTAATACCCCATAGAACTAATGTTCTACACAATCTTACTTGGGAAATGCTGATGTTATTATATAAATTTTCTGGAACAGAATTTTGATAGAAGAGAAAGAGAAACCCCACGTAATGGGCCAGTTCAACCAGCAAGTGTTCAAGTGTTTGGAGTCAGGGAGTTCTAAGCACTTACTTTTGGGTAACTTAGCATTTCTGAGCATCCATTACTTCATTTATAAAATGGAGAGTGCATTCATTTCCTAGGGCTGCCTTAACAAAGTACCACAAACCTGGAGGCTTAAACAAAAGAAATTTATTCTCTCACAGTTCTGGAGGCTAAAAGTCTGAAATCCAGGCATCAGTAGGACCATGCTCCCTTAGAAGCCCCTAGAGAAGAACTCTCCCTTGCCTTTTCTAGCTTCTAGTGGTTACCAGCAATCTTTGGCATTCCTTGGCTTGTGGATGCATCACTCCAATCTTTTGACTTTCCCATGGTATTTTCTTCCGTGTCTTCACATCATCTTCCTACTATGTATTCTGCATTTCTGTGTCTTCTCCTCTTCTTACAAGAACACAGGTCATTCAGCTTAGGGCCCATCTTAATCCAGTATGACCTCATCTTAACTAAATCCATCTATAAAGATCCTATTTCCAAATAAGGTCACATTCACAGGTACCTGGGATTAGGACTTGGATATGTCTTCTTGGGGGGACATAATTCAACCCACAACAAGGATATATAACATCGATTTCATGGGGTTGTTGTAAGCATTAAATGAGAAAGAGAGAGAGAGCTTCACACAGTCCTTGGTACTGAGTAAATGCCCCCAGCTCCTCCACCCTCAGGAATGTAGGTAGAAATGACCTCGCTTCAATCTGTCATCCCACTGACCATGAAGATGATGAACTCAGTTCTCATGTTCATATGAAGTATAAAAAGTAGACTCCTCTTCGTGTTTGCTAGAAGGGCATACTGTACAGAAATACTGATAACTCTTGGATTATTCTGACATGTTTATGATGAAAATCTCTCAAAACCACTCCACTCTTTTGCTTTCAGTCTATTTCTACCAGGCAACCTTCTAATAACCCATCTGTTTCAACAGCCCTCTCTGGAAGGGTGGACTTTGAATCGTGAACTGAAAGATTACAATAAAGAGAATGTAGAACCCCCCATTATAAATATTCAAACCAGAATAACCAGAATTCTGGGTTAAAAATTATTTCCCGGTGAGTTTGACTTGTGTAAATTGATCTCTCTAGGCCTAGGAGTAGACTGACAAGATGAGAGTTCTCCTAATGCAGAGCTGAGGGCCACCTCTTATTTCAGAGATGACTACGGAACCTTAGTTCTGATGACATGAATAATGGCTCTCTGCTTTTGATCTGTCTCAACAGTAAGTCGGGGTTTTCTTGCTTGGGCTATAGGGAGAATGGTGAGGCCATAGCTGGGATGAGGAGCACACACTCTAGAGCTCACGAGAAAGGTCAGGGGTGCAGAAGCAGGTCAGAAAGATGGTCACACAGAGGCTGGAAGTCTGTAAGCCTAACAGGAAAGGGAATATAACAAAATGAGGAACTTGGAGATAGTGTTTTAACTCAGTCTTATAGAGATTTAAAATTTCTATTGGTTGGCAGGGCTAGGACAGAAGGATCAAACTCCGAGTCGGAAATGCTAGAGGTAGTACAGGCAGCGCAACCCAAGTCCGTGAAGCAAGCGTGGAGCTGGATTAAATGCCACAGCTATGTATCTCGAAGGGCGGAGCACTAGAGCCAGGGTCAACACACAGAGCCTCAGGGGACAAAAAGACAAGGCATGAGAAAAATAAGACTGGTACGTGACCAGCCAGAGGAATTTTCATGTTCCCATGGGTTTCGTTACAAGTGGCCTTTTTTTTTTTTAAGGGATGGAGTCCTATCCATATGGCCCCAGAGAACCTACTCTAGTCTTAAAGACACTGACTTTGGAGCTAGGATTCTGATAGAATCTTAGGGAAAGCTCATATCTAACAGAGCAGGGAAGAATCTGAAAAAAGTAAAAATAGACCTAAAAACAACCAAGTCCTTAGACTTTTTGACCATGAAGACCACTTCTCCTATCTCAAGACCCATAGGACTTGTGAACTGCAATGAGAAGGGCAGCCTGTGAAGGTTGGGGAGCAGCCTGCACTCCTCCCTGACTAGGGTGTAGCAAGCCTTCAGGGACACTGTCGGCTACGGGTGCTGAGGAAAGTCCCTTATCATAGGCAGAGCATGGAATCCAGCAGGTATGACCACAGATAAAAGGTCATCAGAAGAGATGGTAACAGGTGTTCCACCAGGAAGTTGAGGGGTGTGGGGGAACCCAAACCACACCCTAGCAACAGGGCCTCCTTGAGCAACCGGGCAGCAAGGCAGAACTCATGGGGAAGTTCGTCTGTAAGCTGCAAGACCATTTAGAGCCAGACCACAGTGCAAGAAGAGGGTCAGTATAGGCAGGCCCTGAATCCTGGAGGCCCTGAGTTCTGAAGATCCTGAGTCCTGATGTCCTTGATTCCTGGAGGCCCTGGGTTTTGGAGGCCCTGAATCTGGAGACCTGAATCCTGGAGGCCCTGAGTCCTGAGATTCCTGAATTCTAGAGGCCCTGAGTCCCGGAGGCCCTGGTCCTAGAGGTCCTGAATCCTGAGATCCCCGAGTCCTAGAGGCCCTGGGTTTTGGAGGCCCTGAATCCTGGAGTCTGGAGGCCCTGGGTTTTAGAGACCCTGAGTCCTAGAGGCCCTGGGTTTTGGAGGCTTTGAGTCCTAGAGGCCCTGAGTCTGGAGGCCCTGGGTCTTGGAGAGCCCAAGGGCTTGGGCACAGAGACTCAGGGATGCCAAGACAGGGGTCCATTTTCCCTAATGAGGTGGAGACCAAATCTCAGGAAAAAGAGAGATGCCCAACTTTAGAGTCAAGGCACAAAGTCAGGATCAGATCACTCCCTAGGGTAACTAAGTTCCAGAGCTGCTTCTATGCCTCTACCTGAGATTGGGATTAGTTCTGGGCCCTGGAGGGGACTGGAGTGGGAGTGGTCGATGGCTGACAAACAGCCTCAGTTGCAGGGGAAGGATACCCTACAGAAGCTGGAGCTTTGATTCCAAGAGCATCTTAATCCCTGGAAAGCTTAAGAAAGAAAATACAGATTCCCTTCCTAGAAGCCTCGTCTAACTAACAGCCACAGGCTAAAAGCAGGACTAGCTCAGTTGCAAAATTCCATTTAGCTCAATACTTTCTCTGGAGAATCCTTTAAAACATTTTGATTGTTCTTTCCTGACCATATAAAATACATCTGACCACATCACACTTCAACATTTTAGACTGTTTTCAAAAAGAAAAAGAAAAAGAAATTGCCTGCTACATGTGGCTGTAGAAATCAGCCTGACCAATTAAGTACGTGACAGGAAGCTGAGAAATACATGAAGAGGTAAATTCAAGGAAAACTGGAAATAAATGGACAGCCTAATTAAGGCTTTGTCTCCTGCTGCTTTACTGGTGACGAAACAACAAAGAAGAAACAGCGACAGCAGGAGATGGGGATTCCATATTTCAGTTATGAAGAAAACCAAATGTGTTGCATGGCCAGTTAGAATCTGCTGTGGACGAATAACTTCCATTGATGCTTGGAATGTTTGCACGGTCAGAGCAAAGCTGCGACCATCCAGAACATCGCAGAGACTATTTTCATGTGTACTTAGAAAAATACCTTTTTTTTTTTTTAAGAAAAATACATTTTTGGACAGGGCCTAAGGATCTCCTGTCACAGAGTCCCTCCCCCTACCCGCCACCCCTCCGCCGCCCCCATCAGCCCTGGCTGGGACTGTGCGCCCACAGGTGTGCTCACCTTCAGTGCTGAGATCTGGGCCTGTGACCGGTCTCAGAACCTGAAGCCCGAGGCACTCAGACACACCGACACGGACATGCCCCGGGGAGCAACAAGTGATAAGCATTACACGACCGGAGGCTGTGAGATTACGATAAACGGCTAAAGAACAGAGAATCTTCTGGAGAATAAAGGTCGGTGCAGTCGGCATCATCTTTACAAGGAATTAATGATGGGATTTTTGTGCAGCACCTAAGCTGTCAGCACCAGGACAGGAGAGCAAAGACGGCCGGCAGCCTCCCAGATTACCACTAGGTGACGTTCTGGGTCCTCCGTTTGGCCACTGTCTCTGGGACTTCTAACTCCCACACTGAGAATCCTTCCGGCAGGTTAACAGCAGGCCCTTGGCCGTCTGATTTCATCAGCTACCCTCACTTCCCTCACTTCAAGCTACCCGCCTTGGCCAGGCCTGCCTGAGGGTTCTGGGAAAGCACACGTCCTCTACCAGCCACAGATGTTTGCCCATTCAAAATGAGCAGCATGCGGCCAGCGCTCTGCAAAGCTCCTTCTGTGTGTTAGCTCAGTTAGTCCCCAAACAGCCCTAGGTAATCTGAATTGGCTATTTTATAGCTGAGGAAGATTACAGTGCAAAGATACGGAATAGCTTGTGTGCCCAAGTTCACTTGTCACTTAGTGGTGGGATGGGGCTTAAACCCAGCTCCAGCTCTCTGTCACAAAGCTCCTCTGCCTCTCTCTGCACAGCAAATACTGGGTCCTAGGTACCTGACAGGGAAGAAAATACAACCTCAGACCTAAAGGAACCTCCAGAGTGGTGAATAAACCAGACAATGTAACAGACAAAGCCGGGTGAGAAGGGCCATCAGAATGAAATGGCATAGGAAACGGCCTTGGGGAACAAGGACGTTTTTAAGGTACTAAGGGGAAAGGTTGACTAGGGAGAGGGGCCAGGGGTTCCAGACAGAGGACCAGGCTGTATGAAGAGACTGGTTGTTGAGAACACAGGGCAAGTTTGGGGAATGGCAAGTGATAACAGTCTAGGTGACGCATGAAAGGGAGAGGGTGGGCAGAGGGTGGTTTGAGAGTGACCTACATCCACACTAAAGGAGTTTGGGTTTTATTCTGAGGGCAATGAGGGCCCTTGAAGTGCAGAAAGCAGATGTGTATTTTTTAGAAGGGTGATTCTGGTAGCAGGTGGAGGACAGTTGGGAAGGAGTCAAGCCTAGGTTCAGAGAGACTGCAAGGGATGCTCCTGTGCCTGTCCAGGGCAGAGGGGGTGGACATAGCTGGATGGGATTGAGAGATATAAAGAAAAATGAGAGGTGGCCAGAGTTGTGGATGGACCAGTTATGGAATGTCAAGGAAAGTGGGTGGGGGGTGGGCCGCGTGGATCTTCTCAGGTCTTTGCTGGGAGAATGGTGTCTTCCACTAATAAAAAGAACGTAAGAGGAAGATGCTGTTTTGCGGGGGGAGGATGAGTTCAATTTGAGTTTGAGGGGGAATGAGTTTGAATTTGAGGCTTTTATGACGCCTGTAAATGGAACCGTCCCCTTGCAGTCTAGAGCTGGGGTGGAGGGGCTAAGGGAGCCTGCTGAATTTATGGCTCGTCAGCACTTGATGGTGACTGAAGCCAGAAAAGTTGGAAGACCTCACACAGGGACATGAGAACAGAGAAGGAAAGAGGGCCAGAGACAAGACCCTGGGGGGACATCACCAATTAAGAGACAGGCAGAGAACAGGAGGCTGGAAAGATGGTTGACAAAGGCTGGTCCAACCCCAAACCAGGAGAGACGAATCAAGAATACAGTGTTAAGGAGGCCAGGAGAAAGACTGGTTGAAAGAGCAGGTGGTCAGTGGGGACAAAAAGTCTCAGGGGACTCTGCAATAAGAAAGCTATCAGTGACCAGAGGGGTGGGGTGGAAGCCCAAGGACAAGTGCATCAGTGGAGAACATGACTGCTGACCTGGGAGAGGACACTTTCCAGTTCTGCAGCTGTGAAGGGCATGTTTGCTGGAGGAAGATTTTGAGTCCAGGAGGGAAGCTGCATGTCTTCTTTTCTCTGGAGACACCTTGATTGTGACTCTTAGCCAAACTCCTTCCAGTGACTTGGGTCTCTTCCTCTCTTCATTTCTCCTTCTCTCTTCCAACTTCATCCACCTGAACTTCTAGACTAGAAGGTACTCTACCTGAAGGCTAGCAGACCTGGTCTGACTCCCAACCCTCCCACTTTCTAGCTGCATAACTCTTACTCTCTGCCCTTCAGCTTCCTCACTCTCAAAGTGTGGCTCTTTAAGAGAGCCTGTAGGATTGTTCTGAGTTGTAAATCAAGAATGTGCTCACTCCACACAGCGGATGGTCCAGCAAATGCCAGTGTTCTCTTCTACCTGATTCTGCAACCTATTCGACTTTTTGTTTTTGCTTGTCCTCTCACACTTAAACTTCCTGAACTCCTGGGCTCCCTGTTGTCATTTCTTTCTCATCTTCCTCTTTTATATTTATGGCAATAGCTGCCCTGCCCCCATCCCCACCATCTCATGGGAGCTGCCTGTGAATCATACAGGACTGGGAGACGGTCATCTGTTCTTGATCAACAGCTGGTTCTACTGCTCTTTCTCAAACTTCCTTCTCAGTTATTTGATCTTCAGATCTTATCAGTGAAACCTCCACTCCTTCTCTGTCTTCTGTGGTCCTGGGTACTTGTGGTTTTCCATTTCCCGATTGTTCAGCCCTTCCAAATCCACTGTTATCTCTTCTTTACCCAATTGTGGACCACCACTGGAGCCCCACCGGGGTCCTCAGCTCACCACTCTCTATAACTCCCCAAGAACTCCCCCACCATGGGGACATTACCCTCTCTGCCTCCGACTCCCAGAGGTCTCTTACATATGAAAATACCATATTTTCATCTGAAGATTTACAAAGAATTTTTTTTCTCAGTTACCTCATTTGTTCCACTTGACTATCTTTTGAGATAGGCTGAGTTGGCATTTTTATCTCAATTTTACAAATAAAGAAAAAGAACTCTGAGATCTAGAAAATGCAAGTGGTTTCTCCTGAATTCTAACCTAAGCTATACTCTACAGGATGGCCTTATTTGGAGATTCTGTCTCTAGCTCAGATCTCACTTGGGTCTAGCCTCCCTCTCAAATCAATCCCACTCAGCTGGCGTTGGGACCGAATGTTTGTGTGCCCCCAAAATTTATATGTTGAAGCCCCAACCTCCAATGTGACTGTATTTGAAGACAGGGCTTTTATGGAGGTAACTGAGGTTAAATGAGGTGATACGGTAGCATTCTGACCCAGTAGGACTAGTGTCCTAGGAGAAGAAACACACTCTGCCATGTGAGGACACAGCCAGATGGCAGCCACCTACAAGCCAAGAGGAAAGGTCTCAGAATAAAACCTATCATGTCAGCATCTTGATCTTGGACTTCCAGCCTCCAGAACTGTGAGAAATAAATTTCTGTTATTTAAACCACCCAGTCTGTGATATTTCCTTATGGCAGCTGGAATGGACCAATATAGCTGGTGACCATTTGGGGGATGTTTTCTTTCATTTTTCTCTTTCTTTTATATCTCACATCCAATCAATGGACAGAGTTATCTCCATTATTTCTATATGATGTGCCTTGAATTCTATCCTTCCTCTTTACGTACAAAGTCACCACTGTAACCTTGGGTTTTGTTAGCTGATGCCTAGAAACCATTAGCATCTCCTGACCTGTATACCATTGCAAGAGTAAACCAGTTAAAACATCACAGAACCATGAGATTTGATGGTCCAGGGGAATTCTCGGCCCCGTCAGAACTCTCCCTTACCCCCTCACTTATGTCTACATCTTCCCCCTATGTCACCGTGAGTTTGAAGTTCTCCACAGTATGAGACTTCTGCTTTAATAATCACCCTGCAGTTCACAACCACCCCCCACAAATGCTCTTCATTTTCTCTGATGACTTTAGAGTATAACTTAGATTTTAGCCCCCAGAGCTACTGTATACTGTGGAATGGCAAACAGGATATTCTTTATATAGCTCACAGAAATATTCAGAGGAGGGAGTTGGGGTAAGGTCTGGAGCCAGATCTGCCACTTACGAGTGTGGGGATCTTTTTGCAAGCGTTTTATCTTGTCTGTAAATGGCATGATGAGTGTGAAGTATTTCACACAGTTTGAGCACTCAACAATGTTAACTATTATGATTAAACTTCAAATTTGGGGCCTAGAGAAAAGATTTAAAAGGCGAAACGGCTCTCAGAGTATTAATAAAAATATGAAAGTGAGCCTGAGAGACGATTTGATTTAAAAGTAAATAAATATGGTGTCTGTGCTGCGGGGAAGCAGTGGAGGACAGCAGTTGTGGGCAGAGACTCCGGATGTGAGCACTGGTTCTTCCCCTCACTAGAGCTGTGACTAGTTACTAGCAAGTAACTGCATCTCCCTGTGCCTCCACTCCTCCTCAGTAAAATGGGGGCAGTGATAATACTAGTCACTCCTTGACAGGGTTACTATGAGGTTGAAGGGCAATGATGCTTGAATGGCACCCAGACCGGGGCTGGGACGAGAGAAAGCACCGTGTGGATTACAGACTGAGCTCCCCAAGTTGTGCAGAGAGGATGCAACCCTTTGGATCAGAAGATTCTACAACATGTTTGTCCCTCAAAATCCCAGAGGGCCCAGAGTGCTGAACTGATACAACCCCCCAAACAGGGAAGTATCATCGAGTGCCTGATTCTTGAAATGCAAGACTGTTAGCTTAGTCCTTACTTGAAACTGGCCCCAAATGTCATGGCAGACACGTAAAGCTTCATATACTTTCTTGCCTCCTCAGAACAGTTTTATGCTTTCAGAATTTTTCCAAAGGGATAAAGTAAATTAAGTTTTAGAGACCAAAATAGAAATAGGGACAAAAAGAACTGAGATTACAACATCTTTTGAATGAGGAACTGAGCTCGTCCCCAGACTTCCAGAATAAAGGGGGGGCGGGGAGGAGGGGTGAACCACACAGGGCCCCGTTTCCAAGGAGTCAACACTTTGGAACATTCTGCTGCTCCCATCCCTCCTCCGCCCTGTCTCTCCCAAAGTGCCTCAAAGTGCCCCAAAGTGCAAGTCAGTTCACGAACCACCAAGCTAACACCCCACTGTCTTCCAAATGCCATTTACTTCCCCATGCCTTATAGCCACCAAGAAGTCAACACTTTGGCCCAGATCTGCTGTAAACCAGTAAACGTTGAATAGTGTTTATGGATCTGCAAGTTCCCTGAGGAGGAAATTCTCTCATTCACTTTCTCTGTACTGCTGAGATTCTCCTTAATAGCTTTGGGACCAGGGGGACTTTTCAGCCAGAGTCCTAAGGCCTGATAATTCACCCTGAGGGATAATTGGTTTCCACTCCATGGCCGATGCAGAGTCTTACTGTCTAGTTTTCGTCCTCTAGTTAGGACTCCACATTTGGAAGTTGCAAAGCTCACAGAGCTCTGTCCTCCCAGATCCCACCAACCCGTGCTTGACTCACCCTGGAGCTCGGCTGGCAGAAAATTCAACATGTGGTTGTTCATAGGATTGCTGCGGGTTTCTGGAGTAACTTGAAACCCCTGAGCAAGAGTCTTTGGATCTGGCCCATTTCCCATCTGGGGAAGACCTGAGTGAGCCCTTACTGCAAGGATGGGAAAGCTTTCGCAAGCAGTTGTCGCAATAGGCCGGGATCTCTGTGGGCTCCTGAGTGCACTGAGCACTTTCTCCCTTGTAATTGTCTGACCTAAGTGGTTTCTTTTGTAACCAGACTTTCCAGCCCCCATTGCCATCTCTCCTCAGATTCTTCAGCAACCCGCCGGGATCAGAAAGGAGGATATTGCCAATTGATTGGTCCGTCTCCCTGACCTGCCTGCTGACTAAATTCCAGAATGTTCCAAGAAAGTTCAGAAACCTCCAAAATAAATTCTGCATTTCATTAATTTGGTTTCTTATTTTAGTTCTAAAGACCAGACACCTTATCGTATTAACTTTCCTAATTAGAACATTTTCTTAAAATCACAGCAGTTGGGTTGTCAGCTTTTCGATGATTTCGCCCAGCTGCTGATCCTCATGTGCCCTTCGGTTTGCATTTGCCTTCCTCTCCTTCTAGCACTTTCCCCGACTTCTGAGAGCTCAGGGAAGCCACCAGAGCCTTCCTGGCCTGGGCTCTGCCTAAAGCTGCTGGGCCTTCTTGAAATGTTGACTGTTAGGCCCGGTTTGGGGGTGGGGCTGGACATGCAGCACCCACTGGCTGTGGCCTTCTTCCACCAAAAGGAGAACCTTGTTCAGACCACAGAATGTATGGTAAAATGACATCCACCACCACTGACGTACATGGACAGACAGAAGAAGAGGCACCTTAAGAACATAATGTGTATTGCCCACAGCCGCCATTTGGGCAAAGGTCTGCGTGGATGAAAAGTGACCATGTCAAAAGTGTCAGAGGTCAGATATCAGCATTAGACTTACGGGTTAGCAAGATTTGCCTTTTTTCTACCCTTTGCTGACAAGCTTTCTTCCACTGTTTACTTGCTTGCTCTTCTCCTCTTGTTTGTACATTCTCCCTGTGAAGTTCCTTCCTGGATAATTTTCCTGTGCAAAAAGGTGCCGATGTATTTTGGACATATTTGGGGATAACTGCCCCTTAAAATTGGACTCTTTTCACAATTTCATCCTTTCCTGTGTATTTTGAGGATACAAATGCTTCCAGAGAACAATTTATCCCCAGGGGCATAGCAGTAGCTGAACCCTAGCAGAAGGTTGGCATCCGAGCATGTGAGGGGGCCTCTCTCTGCCCGCAAGAGTGAGATGCTTGGCATTATCTCTCACATCCTTCTTTCCACCTCTGTCTTCTTAATCTCCTTGTTTCATTCTCTAATGTTCTCCCAAAGCTAGCTTTTCTTCCGTGTTCTTCCTTACCGGTAACACTCAGCCAGTACAACAAACACAAATTGAATGCAAAGAACTGAGTGTGTAAGGACCGCTCTGAGCCCCTTGAAGATATGACTTCATTTTCTTTAAGAATTATTTTGACTAAGTGCTGTCTTTTCTCTGGCTCTTGTAACGTCTCAGTCCTTGTTTGTTAATAGAACATATGAACTTATGACACTGATTATGGATTTAATTTTATAAAAATATCTCAACAACTTTTTGTCCCCGAGTGCACTTCACCAGTGTATCTGGGAAGATTGGCGGTATCTGCGACTAACCCAGTTTCTGACCTCAGGAAGGCCGCAGGGCCACTCTACATCTGCCTCTAACCCTCCAGTCTTCTCATGGCAAAGACAGAAGGAGGACAGAAGGTCGGCAAGTGTCGTCTCAGAAGCCATCACCCAACACGGTCCAATAATATCCTAGGAATTGTGTCAGCCTTGGGATTACCCTTGCCCACAATCAAAGTGACTATATGACATGACTCAGGGGCTCCCCCACACCTACTCATTCAAATTAAAACCGCCTCTCTTTCTCTTCCCTCCTACCGAGGCATTTCATATTCCGCCATTAAATAACACTTCTAAGAGCCAAGAAATTATTTACAAAAGTAGCTTGTTAAACATCCTTTGCTTCCTGGAATGATATAGAGGTATTGTGATATCATAGGAAAGCTTTAAATCACAACAAGAGCAAAATCCTAGCTCTACCCCTTGAGAACTGTGTGAGCATTAGCAAGTACTCAACCTCTTAGAGTTATCCAGAAGGCCAAAGGAGGCGACACAGGTTAAAGCCTCCAACACAGCTGCACCGAGCCTGGCACTCATACACAGTCGATGCATTATCATGCTTGATACAACCCTGTCTGTTGCCAAGGTACGAAGAGCCCGAGAACTTTTTGTATGCCGGGTGTAGGCTATCTGTATAGGAGAGTAAGAAACCAACAGAGAAGGAGACAATGTTCTGATATGTCTGGAAAAATGGAAAACCAGGGGAATTGCCCAGGAAAGCGTCCTAGGAAGCTGCCAGTAGCATGTGGGCAGCAGGCATCTGTAACCTAAAGAGGAGAGAGTATGGAACAAAAGCAAACCATGGGCTTTCCTAAACTTCCCCGGCCTGCCTTGCTGCCCAGTGTCTCCTCCGAGACAGACCTGGCCTCATTACGCACCTGTCTCCACCAACACCTCTTTTCCATCACAGGGACCAGCTGATGGTGGTCCCAGTACAGGTTATCATCTTTCCCCTTCACAAAGGACACGGTCTCCTGCCTCCACTCTTGCTATTCTCAGTCCATTCTCTACACGGTGGCTAGAGTAAACTTTCCAAAATGCGTATCTGACCATATGACTTCTGCTTAAAACCCACTATCACATCAGAATGAAGTTCAACACCAGGCATATCACAATGAGGATCTTGTCAGCCAGCATATTCTCTCCCCACAACTTCCCTCACTAAAATCCATTTCTAGCCTCATGGAACTTATTTCAATGCCCGAAACACACCCCAAACGCTCTCTCTTGCCTATTCACTCCAAGCTCCAGCTCCTCTGGCCATCTCTTACCCCACCTCAGGTTTCTTTCTAGACATCACTTCTTCCAGAAAAAGCCTTCTCTGGCCCCTCCAGGTCTTGACTGGCTGCCACCCCAGCTGGCCCTGCAGCGCTATGGGCTTCCTGTCCCAGCACTTACCCCTTGGGGCAGCCATAGTTCCTGTCTATCCCCACCCGCCAGATTGTTCTCCACTAATGGCAGGAATGGGGTCTCACCATTTTCTCCATGGATGAGTTAATATAAAGAAGTTAATAGTTTCAGCAGCGATAAACATAAGCTCTTAACTAACTCTCTACTGCTGCATTCTCAGGCCCTAGCACAGCTTGTGGCACATAAATGTGCTCCAATAAGCGACCAATGAATGAGCTGGGGACAGTATTATTCACCTCCCTCATTTTATGTTTCACAATAAATATCTTCTAAGGAAAAAAACTCCCAATGGTCTTCTGCAGCAAAATGATGTTTGCATATTTTTCCTCACAAACTTACTGTTTCTTTAAATATAGGTTCTGGGGAGAAGAATACAGAATCAACAGAATGAGGGTAATGGGGTGGTGACAGAAAAGACCCAAATGGTGCTCTGTGCTAAACACTGTAGAAAGGGACACTATTTATGTATCTGAGTGTTGACAGTGGCTTTTTGTGTCTGCTACAGCTAACAAGGAAAACTGCCTTCAGTTCTCTCAGAGAATTTATAAGAGAACAAAATTATTGTCAAGGTAAAACGCAAAATAAAAAGAAACCAACTTCCTTTAAAGATTCTGTGATGCCCCCAAGTACTCTGTAGACAATCAGGTTTTCTGTACTAGAGGTGCAAACAAGGTAAAATGCTATCTCCCCAGCCTCAGAGAAAGACCCTATGTGGGACATAGTTTTTCTTTAATGACAAAAAATTCTTGCTTCTATAATGTACAGTAAAGGTATGTGGACTGGATCCTTTTAAATTCTTTCAGCTTAATCTTTAAAGCTCTAGAGCAAATAGGCTCCACTCCCCTCTCTTTCCCTCCACCTGCTTCTTCTCTCTGTCCCTTCCCTGGCCTGTCCTCCCTCCCTTCTCCTCTTTTCTTCCTTCTTGTTCTTCTTCAAATCTGCTTCCTCCTTTCCTTAAAATCTCTCTTCAAAACACAAGAGATTCAAAAAGCTTTCTTTCCTGACCCTGGCTCTTCCTAAAGACCCTTCCACCTTTGTGATTCTTTGGTTCCAACTCACTGCTCCAAGCTTCCGTTTCTTTCTTTGTCAAGGGCGTCAGCCCATACCAGCACAAAGTCATCATTCCAATAGAAGTTTTCCTTTAAATATTGCCTGACAGTGTACCGTTTTCTCCACGGATGAGTTAATATAAAGAAGTTAATAGTTTCAGCAGTGATAAACATAAGCTGTTAACTAACCTTCACATTTATTGATGAATTAATTTATTTATACCTTTCCGTCTATTCTTAATGGAACCCATGTGCTAGGTTTTGCGCAAGGACACCATCCTCAAGCATTCTTGGTCAGCAGAGGGATTGAGACCTGCACATAAGTAACTCCAGTACAAAGAAGGCAATGGTCAGTGCCCCGAGAAAATCACGGATGCAGTGCTGGAGGTTCTGACAATCATTTGATAAGGCGCTATAGCAAAGCTGAGCAACCCATACAAATGCTTGCCTTTCTCTGCATTACCCAGCTTGGCTACTGCATTAAGGAGAGCCCCCTGGGTAATGGTACAAGCCCTTGTTTGGCTTTTATCTTCCAGGCTTAGCCTTGGAGGACTAGTGTGCCTCAGATGTCTGGTGTGTAAGAAAAACTTGAAAAATGGGAGTCCCTGAGTCTGGAATACACATGATATACTAAAAATGCCCAAGGTGATCCTGACACATAGCAATGAGCACATTGCAAAAAGATGTTATTTTTCTTCCAGAACAGGTGTTGTTTATGTTATGTTGTACCCCTTATGACCCCAGGCCAGTAGGAAGGCAGAATACTAACAGATGCTGGGCATAATTTTGATTCATTTGGAGCATTCTGGAGCCCCAACCTCTCTAACTTTTAACCAATGCACTGGAAACAAATCCATCTCTTTAAAGCATTAGTAAATTGAAATTTGTAGATTCTCATCGCAAGAGTTTATGTGGTTAAGGTGGATGATAGAAATTTCTAGAGGTTTTGGGGTGCCTGCGTGGCTCAATCGGTTAAGTGTCTGTCTGCCTTCAGCTCAGGTCATGACCCCAGGGTCCTGGGATGGAGCCTTGGGTTCCTGGGATAGGGCGTTGCGCTCCCTGCCCAGCCAGGGGTCTGCTTCTTCCTCTGCCCCTCCCCCCAACTTGTGCACACACACTCTCTCTCTCTCTCACTCACTTTCTCTCTCTCATATAAATAAATAAAATCTTTTTAAAAATTTCTAGAGGTTTTGTTCATTTTATGTTTCCCACAAATTATTTTTGCATTATTAATATAGTATACAAAGGGAGATTTGGGAGGCTTGCCTGAAATTGTACCTCTCCTTCCCTTAATATGTATTGATCTCAGGTATGTGTCAGAGACAGGAAAATATTTCAAATGACCTAGGTATAAATGACAGCTATTATTATGCTGGCCACCAATTAGAACAACCTGGGAAATATTTTGAAAAAAACAAAACAGAACAAAAACTACTACAGATGACTGGCTTATCTCCAAAAACAAAGTTTCAGTTATTCTAGGGATACTTTTTAATTTCCTCAGAATCAGGTGATTCTGGCTGAATATGCAGCTAAACAAAATTCAGGTCCCAAAGGCGTAATAAACAGATACACACATACGCTCTCACACATGCTCTCCCTCTCATTTAACCTCCGAGCAAAACCACTGACACTTACATTCTCAAATTTAACCTCCTCTCCCCCAAAAAACCTTCTCTCCCCTGAATGGGAAAAAATACATTTTACATAATAAAATGACCTAATCTATGAAAAATAGTAAAGATGCTATCTGGTCAAAACCAGGGGAATGCTTGCGTGAGGTATGGTAAATCTCAACGCAACAGTATCCAGCTATTTAAAATTAGGATTGTGAAGAATTTACAGCAATGTAGAAACAGTTTATGCTCTAATGGAAAAAATGAACATCAAGTAATCCATGCTGTATGGACACAACTGTGGAAATCAAACTAAAATTATATGCAGACATGCAAAAAAGAATGGAAAAAAATACCCACCCCCAAATGTCAATAGAGACTAGCTCAGTGGTGGTTTTGCTTTCTTCTCCTGTTTTTGTACTTTCCCAATATCTTTTAAATGGCCATATATATGGTAGAAAAAAATTTACAGTAGAACAAAATAAACTTACTTTTCAGAAGGCATGCTTCTGACCATGAAGTGATCAGCAAGGTCCAATTCTCAATAACGAATGAACAAAACAAAGATAAAAATGCTCACCCGAAGGTCTCTGTGTTCCAGCTGGCTTCGCTCTGTCTCCTCTATTACTCCTGCTTTCCTCCTCCAAGTAATTCAGCTTGCTTTTTAAAAGAAAAGTGAAACAGCAAATTTATTTTATAAAAAGTTTCAGCTAACAGCAAGAGAATAAGGAACTTTGGTCAGCTGGCCTGTCTGGGCTTTATAGAACTTGGTGTGGGTGTTGGTCTGGCTTCCTTCTTAAGAAGAAGGGGAATTATTTCACTTAGGGACTATATCTAAAAGGAAGAAGCCTGGATTAACCCTGTCCCTCTGATGACTGTTTTTATTAGCATCTTTCACAACAGATCTTGGGAATGTGATGGGCTAGACTCAGGGGTATTAAGTGGTTATTAGTTCTCCTAAAAGGTTTTTGTGTCTGTAACAGTAACAGCAATGTGGCCTTATATGCCTTATAGGTATAGCACTTTAGAGCTGTTTAGAGCACTTCCCATCACTGACTTGCTTTTCCGACTTACTTGCACATGGGCAGAGACTTTCCCCATTCTGCTACAAATGCTCTGTTGGAGGTCACCAATGACCTCCTCACTGCTCACATAAAAGGTCCTTGCTCAGTTCTCGTCTTCCTTCCCCAATTCATTGTGCAATTAAAGGCCACTTTCTTTAAACTTTCTCCTTTTTGTTTCTCTGACTCTCCTCATTCTTTTTCTACCCCTTGGGCTGCTTCTTCTTGCCTTCCTTTCTGATGCTTTTCTTCTACTCCTTTTCTAAATGTGAGTTTGCCTCAGAAGTCTGTCTTCTGACCTTTCCTACCATATCGTCTTGCTTTTATTTATATGGTCCATATCCATGGATATATTTAACACGGCCTGCCCAAGCATACACAGCAGCATCTACCCCATCTAATCAAATGGCACCACAATCCTTCAGCAAGTTATTCCATCTGTAAGCCTAGAAGTCATTCTTAACTCCTCTTTTTCTCCCACAACCAATATCCAAGCCCAACCAATTCTATTCATTCTACCTGCAAAATGTGTCCTAAATCCAACCATTTCTTACTTCCCCCACCCCCATTAAAATCTTCATCATTTCCTGGATAGAATACTGCAGTAACATTAAACAAGAACTAAAAGACATCCAAATTGGAAAGAAAGAGGTAAAACTATGTCTGTTTGCTGATGATGTATCTTATATGTAGAAAATCCTTAAGATTCCACACACAAAAAACTGTTGGAACTAATAAACAAATTCATCAGTTGCAGGATACAAAATTAACACATAAAAATCAGTTGCATTTCTATATACTAACAATGGACAATTCAAAAGGAAATTTTAAAAAAATTCTAATTACAATAACATCAAGAATAAACAGAAACAATACTTAAGAATTAACTTAGGAGACGAAAGACTTGTACACTGAAAACTACAAAATGTTGCTGAAAGAAATTAAAGAAGACATAAATAAATGGAAAGACATCCCATGTTCATGGTTTGGAAGACTTAATATTATTAAGACGTCAGTACTACCCAAATCAATCTACAAATGCAATACAATCCCTATCAAAATCCTAAAGATGTTTTTCTCAGACATAGAAAAATCTTTTCTAAAATTCATATGGAGTCTAAAGGGACTCCCAAATAGCCAAAACAATCTTGAAAAAGAACAAAGTTGGGGGACCACCACATGACAGACCCGACTGGCTGAGAGTTGGACTGACCTTGGCCACCTCCATCTTCTTGCAGATCTATCTCATCAAACAACATGATGAAGATGGTTTAGCGTACCAAAGAAGAAATGGGTTGGAATAAACTATGGAAACACTAACGCAGTATGCTCCATACAGTGATTATACCAGTTCCTTCGGATCCACCAATCTGTTGAGTCGTAAATGTGACAGAAAAAGTGATCCAGGAATGGATGTCAAATCAGCATTTGTGTTTTGCATCATTAAATGAAAAAATGAAAATACTTTCATATTCTTAAAAAATAAATAAAATTAAAAAAATTAAAGTAGTCAAATTCATAGAGACAGAAAGTAGAAGGGTGGTTGCCAGCAGCTAAATGAAGGGGGAAGTGAGGAGTTATTTAATGGGTGCAGAGTTTCAGTCTTATAAGATGAAAAATGTTTTGGAGATGGATAGTGATTGCACAACAATGTGAACGGACTCGATGTCACTGAACTGTACACTTAAAAATGGTAAATTTTAGGGCGCCTGGGTGGCGGTTGGTTAAGCAACTGCCTTCGGCTCAGGTCATGATCCTGGAGTCCCGGGATCGAGTCCCACATTGGGCTCCCTGCTCAGCATGGAGTCTGCTTCTCCCTCTGACCCTCTTCCCTCTTGTGCTCTCTCTCTCTCAAATAAATAAATAAAATCATTAAAAAAAATAGTAAATTTTGTTATGTATGTTTTACCACATTTTTAAAAATAAGTAATTTTTTAAATAAATTGGATAAGTCTTTAAAAAAAGAATGTTAACATCCTACCTGTCTTCCCATTTCCACTCTTGTTATGCTACCCTAAGCTGGGTTTTGTTTTTTTTTTTAAGATTTTATTTATTTATTTGATAGAGGGAGAGAGAGCACACAAGCAGTGGGAGCGGCAGGTGGGGGGAGAGGGAGAAGCAGACTCTCTGAGGAGCAGGGAGCCCGATGCCGGGGCTAGATCAGACGACCCTGGGATCATGACCTGAGCCAAAGGCAGATGCTTAACATCTGAGCCACCCTGGCGCCCCCTACTGTCAAGTTTTTTAACAGTAAATCAAATCAAGGCAGTCTCCTGCTCAGAACTCTGCAATGATTTCCCAAAATTCTCAGAATAAAAATCCTCTTAATCAAAAAAAAAAAAAAAAATCCTTCCAGTCTACAAAGGCCTGACCTATCAGCCCGTAGTCCTACATATCTGTACAACTTCATCTCTGTCCGTTTCCTACTGCCATTCCAGGCACCTGGGCCAGAATGTTTCTGCCCCTTGGCTCCCTCACTTCATTTGGGTCTCTCCTTAAATGCCACCATCCCAGAGATGACTTTCCCGATCTCCCTTTCTTTTCTTTTTCTTTTTTTAAGACTTTCTTTATTTATTTGGGAGAAAGAAAGAGAAAATGAGCAGGGGGGAGGGGCAGAGGGAGAGAGAGAGAGAAGCAGATTCCCCGCCGAGCAGGGAGCCTGATGCGGGGCTCGATCCCAGGACCCTAGGATCATGACCTGAGCCAATCGATGAACCTACTGAGCCACCCAGGCGCCCCTCCTGATCTCCCTTTCTAAAAGAGCTCCCCACTCCACACACTCTATCCCCACCTTAACCTGCTTTATTTTGCTTTATAGTGTTCATCACCATCTCTACTTCTTTAGTATCATATATTTGTCTGTAAGTTGTTGAATTCCTATAATATGTTTGTGTAGACTTCTCCTTTTCCAAGGAGCAGAATAAGACTCTCTTCAATGGTTAGAAAGACAAGGAAGGAAAACCTCTTTTTTTTTCCCCTCTACCTCTAATTCTGTAAACCTCTGGTAGAGGAGAAATCTCATCAAGACTTTCTTTTATTTTTATTTATTTATTTTTAAGATTTTATTTATTTGACAGAGAGAGACACAGCGAGAGAGGGAACACAAGCAGGGGGAGTGGGAGAGGGAGAAGCAGACTCCCCGCTGAGCAGGGAGCCCGATGCGGGGCTCGATCCCACGACCCTGGGATCATGACCTGAGCCGAAGGCAGACACTTACCAACTGAGCCTCCCAGGCGCCCCAAGACTTTCTTTTATTTTTAGACCAGTCTGGAATTTCTAAGCATTCCAAAAGCAGGCAGTCACTTCACTGCAAAGGACCCATTAGAAAGTCTTTCTTTGTACCGCTTGGCCTGATAACATAGAGATGAAATCTCACTGTAATACAAGATTTCCAGGACGGCGAATGAAGGCATTTGTTTAGAGTAGAAACGGAAAAGATTCATTTCTTTAAACAGAAAAATAAAATCCTGAGAGAGCAGAGAAATAAATCAACATATTTTTCTAATTTGTTGTTCCTGACAACCTTGAGAAAAAACAACAAAAAAGTCAGCCTGTTTCATGCGCAGCATGTTTCAGTGCACAGAGAACTTGTCTGGAACTCTTCAGGGTCTGCAGAACTCCTGCAGGAAAGGTAGGAATCAGCTCTGATTTTGAGGAGATAGTTGATCCTGGAGGACAAAGTGAATCAGGGAAATTCAGGGTCAATTTCTTGCTGATTACACTGATGCACCAGTCACAGAACCTTTTACTCAGAGCTGTAGAGACGTAAGCTTGAATCTAGCAGGTATGTTCTTGTAAACACAAACCTGGGATTCCTACAAAGTCAGAACTACTGTTAAAATGCTAGGGCATCAGAGAACGTAGCTTATTTTCATGATGCAAGATTAAACACCAAGGAAGAAGTCTGTGGGAGTCATGTTTCTATTTAGGTCAATAACAAAGGGAAAAGATAGAAGCGAAGCTCCGGGAATTTAGAAAACACCAAAGTTTATGCATGGGACAGATGATAAGACAAACAGATTAAAAAAAATTACCCAGTGTAGTGGGCTGAATGGTGACACCAAAGCTATGTCCTCATCCTAAACCCAGAGTATTCTGAATCAGAGTAAATTTGTGTTCGCAGTGGCTCAATTTCTTACAAATCATAATCCTTGGATAAATGTTAACACAGTTAAACAGTTTTAATGTTTATTCCTTACTTACACTGGATAAACAGAAGTTTAAGTATACAAAGGCAAAGCCAGCCTGGTTTACTAGGACCGGAAGTGTGGTGACAGTCCCGGCAGCTTTCGAGGGATAAATCCACCTACACCCTACCCTCTAGGACCTCCTTCCCTCCGGGCCATCCTTTGAGCAATCACTCCTCAGGCATTGCTTGATGTTGAGTGAAACAAAGCCTACCCGGGACTTTACTAGTTTACTATTGCAATTACTAATTACTTGGCTGCTCCCTAGCATTCATGTTTTCAAAGTTTAAAAACCCAACCCAAACCAAACCAAAACACCCACAGAGCATCCATGAGAGTTAAAGTACTGCCCTTCCCCAGTGTGGGCTCTCTGGTACTTGGGAAAATTAACAAATATGGCCCTTGTATGGCAAAAGCTGTGACTAAGTGAAGAATCCTGAGAAGATGGATGCCTGGGTGGCTCAGTCATTAAGCATCTGCCTTCAGCTC